CACAGTCTGTCTCTATGTACACATCTTAGACTGAGCATATAAGTCAGTGATTGGCTGTGATTGATGTGCAAGCTGAATATGATCTGCATTGAATGGAAGCCTGACTTCTTTTTAAAAAAGATTTATTTTATTTTTATTGAAAAAGCAGATATACGGAGAGAAGGAAAGACAGAAAGATCTTCCAGCTGCTAATTCACTCCCTCAGTGGCTGCAATGGCCAGAGCTGAGCTGATCTGAAGCCAGGAGCTTCTTCTGGGTTCTCCCACGTAGATGCAGGGTCTTAAGGTTTTGTCCTCGACTGCTTTCCCAGGCCACAAGCAGGGAGCTGGGTGGGAAGTGGAACAGTTGGGGCTGTGTGGAACTGGTGATCATATGGGATCCGAGCATATGCTAGGTGAGGCTTAAGCCAGTAAGCTATTGCTCCAGGCTGGAAGCCTGACGTTTGAAGAAAAAGGCACTGTTGCTCTTCTGGTGTCACAGGATGGAAGCTGCATGTGGTGGTCACGAGCAGTCAAGGCTGCTTCCTGTTTTCCTGGTGTAATTTGCAATAGATGTTAAAGTGGGACCTTGGAGGTTTGACCCCTTTCTGAATTTTGGAGGTAGCAAAATGGGCCACGTTGGCTATTATCTCAATCTTGTAGAAACAGAAAGACTTCGCAGTGAGACTTTTTCTTGAAAGTCATATAGGTTAGGGGCTGGCTTTGTAGTGCAGCCAGTTCATCCTGCAGCCCTAGCATCCCTTGTGGGTGCTGGTCCATGTCCCCAGGTTACTCCTCTTCTGATCCAGCTCTCTCTTACTGCCCTTGGGAGAGCAGTGGAGAGTGGCGCTCAGGCATCCAAGTGGGAGACCCAGATGAAGCTCCTCGCTTTGACATGCCCAGATCTGGGTATTTGTACCATATGGAAGTGAGACAGCAGGTGGAAGATCTCTCTGTCTCTCCCTTTCTCTCTGTAACTGCCTTTCAAAACAAACAAACAAACAACAAAAAAGCTCTCTCCTCCTTTTTTTTTTTTTAAAGATCAAGGGGCACACCTTATAGAGGTCACTGATGGTGCCAGTGGATGCAACTGTGATCGTGACCCGTGGAGCTCATGATCACTGGATACAAGTTTAGGGACGTGAGAAGTGATCCTGAAATAGGTGTCTGACTCTTGGTTCTTTCAAAGGGCAAGACATTCATTTGAAAGCCAAGGTCGAGCAGCAAGATCTGGGTGGATAGTGTGGCTGAAGCCAAACCTGGGTGCTCCTCCAATCAACTTGCTTGTCTGAGAGTTTATGTCTTGGTCTGTGGACCTCTCCCCAGCTTGTTCCTGTAGGATCCCTCTTTGAAATGGTGACATTGAATGGCGAAGTAATTCTTCTTTGGGTAGAGAGCCTATATTTGGTCACATTTTTGTATTTAGGTCAGGCATGTTAGTAGTTCATTTGGTATCTACTTGAAGCTATGTTTGGATGGTCAGTGTGCATCTGGGTCATTCATTGTCCCTTCCTCTTTCATAACTGTAACCATCGTAAAGAAGCCTCTGCAGTCACGGAGAACTAGCCTCTCTTGCAGGAAGATCCCTCAAGTGCCGGGATGGGGGCTAGCCCTCCTCTGCCCAGGGATGTCCTTCAGGCTGATATATTCTGTTCTCCGTGTGGCGTTTGAACTGTCACCATCACATCCTATGGGCCTTTCATTCACACGCACACGCCACACATATCACATGTGTCACACACATAGTACATCCACACACCACACACACACACCCACACACACCGCACACACCCACACACCACACCCACACCACACACATACACACCCACAGCACACACACACACCACACACAGCACACACATAACACAAACACACACAGCACACCACACACACATACACACACCACACACACCACACACATAACACACGCACACCTCACACACCACACACACACCACACACACACCACACACATACACACACACCTCACATACCACCCACCCACACACACACACCACACATAACACAAACACACACAGCACACCACACACATAACACACACTCACACATACCACCCACACCACACCCACACAGCACACCACACACACACATAACACAAACACACACAGCACACATAACACAAACATACACAGCACACCACACACACACACCACACCCACTCCACACCCACACACACCCACACACCACACATACCACACACACCACACACATAAACACACACCTCACACACCACCCACACACACACATACCTCACACACCACACACCCACACACACGCCCACACACACCCACACACACACCACACACACACCATACACACTCCCCTCACACACCACACACACCACACACACACACCACACACACAGCACACATACACATGCCACACACACCACACACACACCTCAGACACACACACACCCCTCATACACCACACACACACAGCACACACACAGCACACACCCACACACCACACATACTTACCGTACACCACACACAGCACAGCACACACACCACACACACACAGCACACATACCACACACACACACACACACCTTTATTTAAAAAGAAAGAGATGCAGATACAAAGATTTCCATCTGCTGGTTCATTCCTCAAAATGCCTGTTGCAAGCCTGGGCTGGTCTAAGCTGAAGCTAGGAGCCAGGGCTCTCCCACATGGATTGTCAGGGACCCAGGTACTGGAACCATCACCTGTTGCCTCCCCTTGGTGCACCTCAGGAGCAGAGCTGAGCATCACTTCCAGGCGCTCAGATACGAGTTGCCAACAAGTGGCATCTTCACCACCATGCCACACCCCCACCCTGCCCCACCCAGCTTTCTTCTGTTCTGAAACGTGGAGAACCAGAGCTCAAACCTGACCTGGCCCAGCTTCCCACCAACAGCCCACACCTTTGTCCCAAGAGCTCAGGATGCGTCCCCCGGGGCTCCTGGTTGCTGAGCTGTTTCCCAAGCTGCTGCTGAGCCCTTCCTGGAGGTCGGGCGGTGACCATCGGGCACTAAATTTTCCAGCTCTCACTTCCCCACCACAGTGCGTGAAGGGACTCAGGCCTGAGGCCACTCACAGTGGTGAGTGGTAGGATTTCCATGGGTCAGACCCACAGCTCCTTGCTCATTGTCTCTAGGGAGGGTGAGGCTGAGCATGGGTTTCCCCCTAGCTGTCTTGCTCCAGAAATGACTTTGACCGTGACCTCTGCATCCTTTGTTTGTTGGGATTAGTGGTTGCTGGGTCTCTGCTATTTACCTCTTCATAAAGCCCAGCTCAGAGATGCTGGGTGCTTCAGCCAGCAGGTGGTAAAGGAAGCTGCAGGTGGTGGGCTCAGAAACCAGTGGAAACAGGGGTGCAGACTTGCCAGGACACAGTGCAGTGCCCAGAGGGAAGGCAGGATTCTGTCTGTGCCACCCCTGTTAGTTACTATGGGAGATGACTTGCCAGGTCTCCTTCAGACAGGCCTCTGTCCCCTAATGGCTAGGAGTGGCACAGGCAGGTGGTCAGGGTGGACACACTGGAGGAGGCAGGACCTGGCTTCTTTCCGGTGCCCGTTCCTTTTCCTGTTCTGTCCACCTGCTGCCTGACCCCAGACCTCCAAGCCCAGGATTTCTGTCAGTATGGGAATGCTTTAGGATCACAGGGTTGGCACAAGCCCAGTGAGACCCTGCTTCGAGTCCTCTGACTCCAGTTGCATGCTTTTCCTGTATTGGAGTTAAGTGTGTGTGCGTACATGTGTACACCCCTGTCTTCATTCCGAAGCGAGTGGGACCCTCCTCCCTGGCTCGCATTCCAAGAACAATCCTTTCTTGGATGACGTTTGGGTAGCCATCTAGCTAGCTATTCCAAATGTGTGCTTGGTTGCACAAGAAATCCAAGCAACCGTTTTTTCAGAACCTAAGCAGTTAACGCTGGGATTTTTTTTTTCCCCCTGCAAATAAATGGATCAGTATGCAAGACAGTTGTCACGGCTGAATCATGGTCCACAGCTAAGGTAAACAGATCTGTGATGACATTTTCTGAGCAGAATACAGATGCAGCTGTGTGCTTTCTCCCAGAGGTTTCTGACTTCTCTTCTGCCCGGGGAACGGACTCTAGGAAGGTGTGCTGGCCACAGGAGGAAAGCCCATTGTGTCATCCCTCGGAAAAGGTACGGCTGTGATGGCTTGATGGGCTTTTTTTGCAGTGAAAATTGTTCCCAGAGAGCTGAATGTTGAGAAGAGTGCTTTTTCTGTACGGAGCTGCCTCCTCTCACCCCCACGCACCGGTGGAGAGAGCGTTTGGCTTTTGTGTGTTTTTGAGTGAGCATCGAAACATTGTATGTTGTTGGGTAAGTTTGCATGACATTCGTTTGCTGTTTTTTTTTTTTCTTTCCCAGTGTGAAGATGATTTTTTCCCCCTCCTCTTATTTGGATTCCTTTGGAATACCAGGGTGAACAAAACCCCAGTTTCCCATTTCCTTCTGTGCCTTTATCTGCAGGCTCTCAAGTCTGCATGCTCTCCCCTGGTTTTCCTTGCCTCTGTGGTGTTATTGGAATTCTATACGATGTGTCTGTCTGCATTTGAATTGTGAAAGATCTGGAGCTGGGCGTAGCATTCAAAGCCAGATAGATACAGCTTTTTCTGTTTCCTGTGTTTGGGTGAGGCTTGCCAAACCCTTGGATCGGGCTGATTTTAAAAGGGACTCAAAACCTGGCCGGCAACTTTGTCTACAGTCAGATGGTCACACCCTGTCCCCAAGTGGAGTGGCAATCACAGTTGCCTTGGGCAGATGTGTTGAGGCTGTGAGCTCACATGTTTCATTCTGTGTGTTTGATGTTAGTTCTCATTGGGACACCCTGCACCCAGGTCTATATGAGAGGGTTGTGTTGGAGGTGGGTTGCGGGTCAGGGGGAGAGGTTGCAGAAGGCTTCAGTGGCCAGAAGTGACTTGGTAAGGCACCGCCCGCAGTAGGGATCTGCTCAGAAATCCAGTAGCTCTCAAAGGGACGTGTTCAGGAAATGGCATCTCGTGTGTGGTGCTTTGTTCCACCCTCTGGCGTTTCCATAGTCCTCTGTCACCTGAAGGGTGGACTCCTCCAGGGAGCCTTCCCAGGCATCTCCCACAACACAGAGCCCCACCTGTCTCACAGCCCCACGGCTCTCAGTGAGACGTCACCTGACCGCGTGTCTCCATCACCTGCATCTCGAGGTTGGATCCTTCCCCTCTCTGATGCTCCTAGGACAGCTCTTGCCTCAGCAAAAGGAAGGCATGCTGTGGTGAGCCCCATTTCTTGGAGGATAGCAGGGGAAACTGAGTCAGGAGTGAGGACAGCTGAGCCCATGGCTGGAGAGAGAAGGGGTGCTGTGAGAGAGGTGGTGGTGGCTGTGAATGCATTTAGGCAGTCTGCCCGCTGTGTGTTTCCTCCTTGTCTGGATTTTTTTTTTTTCCGCCCTGTGCAGTGTGGGAGGATCAGGTGACCGCAGCTCCTTACCATCTTCCCTTTTTGGGATCCAACACTGACACTATGTTATCTTGAGGCAGTGACATCACCTCTTGCCGCTCAAGCACCCTCCCCATGGCTGTCCTCTCTAAGCTCCGCCGGCGAGGCACCCGGGCAACGGTGACCTTCATCCATTTACAGGAGGCGTGCAGGTAGCTTGAGGACGATTCAACAGGGAGCAGATGCAGGCTGAGCAGGGGACCAGTTGGGGACAGGCCTCCTCGGGAGTGGGTATTGGAGCAGAATCTAAACAGGAATTGACCAGGAAGGAGCCAGGAGAAGGGAGCAGAAGGGTGCTTTCTAAAGAATTATTTTTTAAAAATGTTTTTTATTGGAAAGTCAGATATACAGAGAGGAGGAGAGACAGAGAGGAAGGTCTTCTGTCTGCTGATTCACTCCCCAAGTGGCCGCAATGGCTGGAGCTGAGTTAATCAGAAGCCAGGAGCCAGGAGCCAGGAGCCAAGAACTTCTTCAGGGGCTCCTGTGCGGGCGCAGGGTCCCAAAGCTTTGGGTTGTTCTTGACTGCTTTCCCAGGCCACAAGCAGGGAGCTGGATGGGAAGCGGGGCTGCCAGGATTAAAACCAGTACCCATATGGGATCCCAGACATGCAAGGCGAGGACTGTAACCACTAGGCTACTGTGCCAGTCCCAGAAGGGCGCTTTCTACGAGAAGGCTTAGCACGTGCAAAGGTGCCAGGTGAGAGATGCATGGTGTGTTCAGTGTGGCCGGAGCTGGAGATCTGAGCAGTGCCTGACCACTCAAGGACTGGCTGTGACAGCAGGGAACTCTCTGGCTGGTTGGGTCTTGCTTCCCAGGTCGGACTGAAGGGAGGGGTTGGGTAGATGCTGCAAGACTAGGGAGAGGAGTTGACAACAGGACTTGGTGAGCTGCTAGAGCCATAGTGACAAGGTGGTGTTGATGCCTGAGGTGGGGATGAGGTCCCCTCCCTTTGCCAGGGAAGTGCAGGGGGAGAAGAGGAGGGTGCAGAGACACCCCAAGGGCTTGGGGGAGGAGGGTGCCAGGACCACCCTAGGATGCTTACCTTTACAGAGTGTTACAGCCAGGCCAGCCATGGGTTGTCTGGGGCCAGAGTGTGGCTGGAGATGGTTGAAGGGAGTGGTTGAGGGGAGGGGGTAGCAGGCCTTTGCTGCTGTCCTAGCTGTGGCCCTGCATGTGGGAGTTTCTGTGTCTGTTTTCAGGGTTGGCGGAAATGCTGAGCCACAGTGCTGGTGCCGTCTGGGTGTGCAGGTGTCTATGCTGCCGACACCAGGGCATGGAGACCCAGGATGAGGGTCCTGAAGCATCTTCCTGCAGAACCTGGCTGGTGGTCAAGTGGCCCACAGGATCTGGACGCTTTGCTCGGGCTTCTTGGCTTTCCTTGCGGGCCTTGGAGGGATGTATGGGGCTGCGCGGCACAGGGCTGTGAGAGGAACAGGTGTGTCCTTCGCTGCTTTGGAGCAGCTCTCAACGGAGTGACAGTCTGTGTTTCACCAGAGAGAAATAGGCAAGTGTGTGTGCTATTTGCCTGTGTGCTGTTTACCTGTGGTGTCTGTGGTATGTGTAATATGTCATGTGTCTGCTGTGTGTGATGTGTATGTGATGTGTGGATATATTTGTAGTGTGTGTAATGTTTTTGGCATATATATATGTACCTGGTATGTATCTGTTTTGATGTGTGTGCCCACAGTGTGCAGTTGGGTGTTGTATTGTTGTGTATGTGTGCAATGCCTGTTTGTGCATATGTGGTGTGTGTACCCTGTGTGTATGCATGTGGTATATGATATATCTGGTGTGTATGCATGAATAATGTGTATGCATGATGTGTGAGTTATATGTGTGTGGGGGGGTGTGTGTGTGCATGGGAGAGGCTCTGGGGGAGGAAGGAGGGCTGGCAGGGCAGAGGCTCAGAGCTCAGCTGTCAGCTCTGCTCCAGAAAGGAGCTTGGGACCTGATTGGAGACCCTGGCTGAGATTGGCAACTGCCTGCAGTTTGCAGATGATTTGCCATGTAAAGAGGATGCTGGTGCAGAGAGCCTGGCTGTTGTGAGGCACAGCCCTGGGTGTGAGTGGGGACTCCTTCTGTCCTTCTTGGCTGCACTGTTGATACACAGAAGGCCAGATACAAATCCTTGGATCTGAATGGCGGGGGAGCCCCATGCAACAGTGACAGGGACTCTGTGGGCAATTGCCCCCGACCCCTGGCCATGCACTGGGCTGGCTTGGGCAGCTGTATTTGGAGGTTCCCTTCCTCCCTGTTTATGATTCCATTTTGTAGACAGAAAAACCAAGGTGTAGAGAGGGTCCTAGCTCAAGGATCATGCATGCGTTGCACATGTGCCCAAACCCACACATGTGGGCCTCCACATTCTTGGGGAAGACAGGGGAGAAGAAGCTTTCCTTGAGCTGCATGTGCTGAGGTCCCAAGAGTGACTGTGTGATTGATCCGGGGTGCTTTAGTTGTGTGGGTGAGGAATTTGATGCTTACTGGGACCCCACAGCTAGGACATTGCCTCTGTACCACTCAACTTCCTCCTGCTTCTTTCTGATTCAGAATTTCCTTCTCAGGAGTGTTTTGTCACCCCTGGGGAGAGGTCTGCCAGGTCACTCAGCCATGCCGGGGCAGCCTGGGGGCAGGGGCAGGGGAGGGTGGTGATAGCGAGGACCTTCCCCCATGAGCCCACTCTGCCTTGTATGGACACATGCCCCAGGCATGGCCCTGCTAGTGCCTCCCCCTCATCTGTAGGATGACTACTGCGCAGTGTGCAGGTAGGTCTGTGTGGAGAGGATGGCATGGTAGCAACAGTGTAACAGCACCTGAGCACCCAGTATCAGTCTTGGTTCACAGAGAACTTTCTCATCCTTCTTAAAAATTTTTCCAAATTTATTTTATGCATTTGAAAGACAGAGTTACAACAGAAAGAGAGAGAAATTTTGAGACATCTCCCACCCACTGGTTCATTTCCCCAAATGGTTGCAATGGCTGGAGCTGGGCCACTCAGAAGCCGGAAGCCTCTTGTGTATTTCCCACATTTGGGTGTGGGTTCCCAAGCACTTGGGCCATCTTCTGCTGCCTCCCCCGGTGCACTAGCAGGGAGCGGGATAAAGGAGGAACAGCTGGGATTCCGTTTGAGGTGCTGGTGGTACAGGTGAAGGTGTAGTCTGTTATACCACAATGCTAACCCCCCATATTGTGCTGTTCTTAAGTCAGTCTGTCCCAATGCTGGATGCTGTTGTTAAAAACCATGTGCTGGTCTCCAGCTATTGTTTTCTGAATCATGTCTTCCACGTGGAATTCTCTGGAAGTAGTTATTATTCTGCTTGTGGTCATTCAATCACCATATCATTACGTTAGCATTAAGTTAACACATGTTCACTGGGTTACAAAGAAACCCAGAAGATTCGAAAATAGACAGCTTTTGGGAGAAGGTAAAACTCAACCTATATGTCCTACCACAGAAACATTAAGTTTTAACACAGCGGCGTATTTCGCTCTACCTTCTGCCTTTCTGCTATCATACAAGTAAGAATGTGCGTTAGCAAGTTCACAGAAAATGCAGTTAACAGATAAGTTTGGATGCAAAAAAGAGAAATTGAAATTTCATGTTCATGCCTTTACAGGGTCTTGAAAAGTTCATGGAAACTGTGTTTTGTGTCAATAGTATGCCAAGATTGCATTTTTTTCTTTTTTTTGCAACAAAGTAAGCTTGATATTTTAATGCCATTTCCATGTATCTACACACACACAACACACACTTTTTCTCCGATCCTCTGGTGAGGTACAAAGTTTTGAATGTCTCCTGAACACATTGCTGTGTAGTTGTGTACAGGCTGTGACAGCCCTCCCTGCAGGTGTCTGGGTGTGACGCCTTTTCCCTGCACGGCAATGTGCAGGTTCCTCTTTGCCCTGCTTCACAGTAAGGTTTGGAAACCCTGAAGCCACTCAGCATCATGACTGCAGGACTGCTCCTGCCCATTGCTGTAGCTTCCTGTGCTGCCTTTGGTACCTAACCCTGGCTTGGGTGCTCTTCCCTCTGGCCTGGCTGGCAGTCTCCCCTCGTCACTTCTCCAGGTGGACATGCCAGGACCTGAATCACAAAGGAGAGTCACCATATTTGGGAAGCTGTTCATTTCTTTTTCCCGGGGAGGTAGACAGCTGGCTACACTGGTGGATCTGAGCATAGCATACAGGAGAGAAAGAGAGAGTGAGAGGAGAGGGGGAGAGAGAGGTGGAAGAGATGTAGAGAGAGAAAGAGAGATGTAGAGAGAGGGAGAGAAATCTGTACTTTGCTTAGTTTAAATTGATTGAGTTGTACCTAAAAATCAACATTAGAGAGGCAGAGGTCTCATTTTCACTGGTTCAGTCCCCTAAATGTCCACAAAAATTGGCTGAAGTCAGGAAGGCAAGGATCCTCACATGTGAGCCGTCAACTCCAGGGGTGTTTCTGAGGAGAAAGCTGGAATGGGGAGCCACGACGCATCCGGGCACTGTGACAGGTGGGTGGGAATCCCTGGCTGTGACTTCATTGGCACGTCAAACACACCTGCTTCCGTTGACCTTCTTAAAGTCAGATTTGTTTGTTGACTGCATTGCGCTTTGGTTTATTTAGCATCTAGAATCCTATCTGAGTCACCAAAATGGCTTTTGATTAAATGAGACATCCTCACCTTTAAGAAGCTTTATAAAGTAGGCACAGGAGCAGGTTTCCTTGACACGATAAACCAGCAGTTTGTCCAAGTTGAACTCAAGAAACGAGCAAGGTTGATCATTGCCACCATACTCTTGGCATTAAGAGCTGTTTTTACTAGTCCCAAGTGCTGTGTCAGGCTTTTCACAGCCAACCCTTCAAGACATATTATGAACATTTCACAGGGGACAGTCTGACCTCAGGTGGCCCAATTCCTGCTGCAGCCAGCACATGTTTGAGCTGCAATTTGAAATCAGGAGTGTTTGGCAGTAAAATCTTGTGGTCTCTCCCTGAAATAGGCCCTTGTTGTTGAACATAGCTTTGGGCGTTCTTGACAATGAAATATGACATGACAAGGAAAGTAACCATTTACCCATTTTAAAGAGCGACTTGTGGTCAACAGGAGTTGCACACTTGAGCCTTTAGAACTCATGGGAAAGTATTAGAATAAATGGAGGAATCTGGTGAAATGGAAGGAAATATGTGACCCCAGAAACTTTTGAACTCAACATGTAAAGTTTGCAAGGATAATCACACAGTGGCTTCATCTCTATAGCTGCTAACTGGTTAGAAAATAGTTGAGGGGGGGAAATCGTAATTCTATAAAATATCCATAAATAAGCCAAATGAGGAATTTGAAGAATGTATATGATGAAGAAAACCCTGCTTTTTGTTTGTAGAGTATAAAGAGAGCTGAGTGAATTACTGGCAGATATACCAATTACTGGTTGAAGAGACCATTTTGGAAATGTCAGCCTTCCTTCAAAATTCATTTGTAGGCTCAAGGTGATGCCAGGATTTCAAGGGCATTGCATTTTGTGCCTTAAATCAATCAAAGTGGCAGGATAAAACTAAAAGAAGAGAACAATTCTGTAATATTAAAAGGGAAGTAATGAGAGAAACTTACATCATGAAATACATTACACAGTACAGTTCTAGAGCCAATAGAGAAACTAGATAATTGACAAAGAAATAGATATTCCATGTGGGGTTGGTGTAAGCCATTGCCTGTGACACCAGTGGAGGGTTGCTCTGCTTCCAACCCAGCTCCCTGATAGTGTTCCTGGGAAAGCAGAAAAGCAGAAAGAGACGGCCCACATGTTGAGGTCCTTGCCAACCACATGGGAGACCCTGATGGGGTTCCTGGCTCCTGCCTTCAACCTGGTCTAGTCCTAGCTCTTATCAACATTTGGGGAGTGAATCAGCAGCTGGAAGACCGCTCTCTCTTTGTGCACTCTGCCTTCCAAATCAATTAAAAAAAAAGTTTTAAAAAGAAATATATATTCTAAGACCAGAAGATATGAGGTAGAGAAAGCTTCAACAAAATATCTTACAGGGAAAGAGAGAAACTCCTGAGTCAATGCATTTGGGACCACTGGTGTTGTCTTAACTCTACTTTTAAAAACGTGCTGTAATATTAAAAAGTCTTTCAGTATGAAAAAGACGAGAGCTGGGGACACATGTGCACCTCTCACTGGCAGTTAATGTGGTGTGTTTGTGCACTCAGCTGCCTCCCACCCCTTGCCATATTCCTTGGCGGTCTAGATGTACGGTGCATGCATGTCAAAAGGATTGCGGTGTCTGAACACGAGAAGACACACGTGTAAAGCAGGCGGCCTTGCTGCTGCTTTGCTGACTTGCACAGAGTATCTTGCACAATGTGTGGGGGAACGAGGATGTTCACTGGCCCTTTGGCTGGGGGGTTGCACAGTCAGACACCGCAGCAAGCTGGATCCACACCCCCACCCTGGGACTAGTGGTGCCCTGGTCCACTGGGGGCATCAGCATCTGCTTCCAGAATAGACTGGATTTTCCATGTTCCTCCTCCTTGCCTGTCATATTCTGGCGGTGCAAGATGTATCATGAAAGCAACAGGCATTTCTGTGCGCTCGCAAGGAAACTAGATCAGTGAGTACCATATTCCTCAAACCGCTTGCCACCTACGTCTGCCTCCCCATCCTTTCTTTGAGCCAGGAGGTACCTGGGAGCAGAGCGGGACAAAGCCTTGTAGCTCTTGCAGACTCGGGCAAGATCTCTGGCCTGAAGCTTCCTAAGCTCAAAAGCGAGAGTGAGGTTGTTGGCTGTCACTTGATGGGAGGATGAGCGTGGGATGTGAGCCGAACACCAGGAGACACTTGTGACGTGCACAAGGCTGAAAAGCTTGTTCCCTTAGGATTTTTCAGTGTGTTTTAGCAGATGCTGGAATCTCTAAGGAAGGGGATAAGCTCACGGCGTTTTCTTGGTTGATCTTGGTGCTCCTTTTCCTGGAAACTATTCAGGGACTTGTATTGTGAGGAACTTATTTGAAGGAAGTGACTTTGGTGGTCAGCTGTTGGTTTGCTTCAATAGTGGTTCTTCCCTTCAGTGTGGGGCTCTAATGAACTAAATGTGTTTCAGTTTCGTTATTTAAAAAGTAATTTTCTTATTACACATTGTCAGGCAATGAGGTTGTTGGGTCATTGCACACGATAGATAACAGTGTGAAGGCGAGACAGTCGGCTTAAAGAAATAGGTTTCTCCCTCCCCCACCCCTAGCACTTTTTGCAACGTGTGCATTGATTTAACAAACAAAACAAAGACCTGAACAGTTCTCAAAGTTTTATGAACACAATGGGATGGTTCAATCAAGATTTTGTTGACTAGGAAAGTCTTGAGGAGTTGGGCATGGAATAGCTCAGGGTGAACTTTGAATTTGTTGAGGAAGCGCAGTGCCCGTAGATGTACCTGGAGACTGACTGCAGGGAAGGGGAGGGGGCTTGCTGGATTCTACAGGATGGAGGCAGATGGCGGTGGGCTGCAGCAGGTGCACTGCCACCGCCACTAGACACCCCTTCTCACCCTCAAGGGCCCAGGACTTCATACCGACCTTAAACTTGTCTTGTTCAAAGATGTTTGCTGTGGGCTGTTGCTTCCCTCTGGCCATAGAGAAGAAGTGAGCTCAGACAAGTGAATAGGGCATAAACCATTTCAAAAAACCAACCCACCAGGACCAGGGAGGTCAGATGAAGTTCTGGGCTTGTCCTGATCTGGTATGAGTCAAAGTTGGTTGAGTTTAGAGCCTCCCAGGAAGTTGATGGGGAAGACCTCTCCACTGAGTTTGATGCACCTCCACAAGCGTGTGGCTTCTGAGGCAGCTCATGTGTGGACCGTGACCAGTGCTTCCATTTGTGTTTTTACTCCTGGAAAAGACTTGGCTGGAGAGAGCCAGGGCACCCTGCTGTGTGATTGCTGGCTCCTGGTACTTGCCTGGGTCCACTGACACTGAGGGGTTCTGAGTTCAGAGTCAAGGTGGGGCCAGCCTTGTCCCCCAGGTCAAAGATGGAGCATCTGCGGGGACTGGCTGTCTGGAGTGATGGAGTCTCTCCCTCTCTCTTATCCCAGGCCTTGGCTGTGCCATTCAGGGTCCTAGATACCTCCTTTGCTTCCTCGGGACATAGAACACAGGCATCCCTTGTAGAAGCTCCTAAGTGGCACTGATGCTTTTTAGCTGCTGTTGCCAGCGTTAAGTGTGGGATCCTGCCTGAAGACAGCCTTTCCAGGTTCTGAGTGGCATCCCTGTTGGTGGGCAGTGCAGCCTGCAGGAACCCAGCCTGTGGGGCACTGCTTCCTTCCCAGGTCTCTTCTGACACTGACAAAGCCTGTTCTCTGTCCTGCCTTCCAGAAATGGCTTCTGACATCCCCGGATCAGTGACGTTGCCTGTTGCCCCCATGGCGGCCACTGGACAGGTGAGGATGGCAGGGGCCATGCCTGCCCGCGGAGGAAAGCGGCGCTCCGGGTAAGCAGCCTCGGCGTGGGCTTGGCAAAGGTTGAGCCAGGGCCTGTGGTTTTTGGCCTGGGAGGCCTCTGGCTCCTCCTCCTCCTGTGGGATCAAAGCTCCAAACTCAGCAGTCTGCATCTGTTTAGATTTTTGTAAGCTCTCTGCATTTGCACATCAGGTTGCTCCTAAGTGTTTTGGAACTGCAGCGCTCAGCTGGGGGACTTGTGTTTGCTTGTCCTCCTGTGGGGCCTGTGCTCTGCAAGCCTGCTGGAGCGGCTGCAGCCCCAGTGGGCTGTGAGACTTCCCCTGCAGGAGCCTTCCTCACTTAGTTGGGCTGTACCTCTTTCATCCTGTAGATAGAGCAGGAATTATAAAACAAACAAACAAACAAACAAACATTTTACTTGGTACAATTTTTAAAAAGATTTAAAAAAATTTTTATAGGAAAGGTAGAAGGAAAGACAGGGAGAAAGATCTTCCATCCACTGGTTCACTCCCCAAGTGGCCCCAAAGGCCAAAACTGAGCTGATCCGAAGCCAGGAGCCAGGAGTTTCTTCTGGGTCTCCCACGTGGTTGCAGAGTCCCAATACCTTGGGCCATGCTCGACTGCTTTCCCAGGCCACAAGCATGGAGCCAGATGGGAAGTGGAGCAGCCAGGACATGAACTGGCAGTCATAGGGGGTGCCAGCACTTGCAGGTGGAGGACTAGCTTGCTGTGCCACTGTGCCAGCTCCAACACTCCTGAAGACCAGGCAGCTTGCAGCATAGGCCGTCCTGCCAGGAACGATCATCGATGCTGTTGGCGCTTCTGTCTCGGCTAGAGCAGGGCAAGCCAACGTTGCTGAGTAGAGGGAACCCAGGCCCGCATCAGCTTACACTGTGCAGCGTCTGCAGCTGTACACAGACTTAAAACCAAAAATGCACCCATCACATCCTTCAGGGAAAAGACATGCCTGGCGCTGTCAGTCCCTTTCCTCCACTGGCTCCATTTGCTTCCCAGCGAAACGATTGAGCGGCAGCTTTTCATGCAGCTGAAGCAATTTGGCAAGTTCTGGCAATGCCCACTGCCCAGTTACAGCAGAACACACTTCCCCAGCCCGAGGCCTGCAGCAGGGCTGGTCCAGACACAGCATTGCAGCTTGGAGTGGAGGGAGGGGTACGGGTGCGCATCAGGGTCTGGGATGGAGAGGGGCTGGGGTGATGCTCTGCCTTGCAACTGCATTTATTTCATTTATTTTTAAATAGTTTATTTATTTGAAAGGTAGATTTACAAAGAGAGAGGAGCAAGAGGAGAAAATCTTCCATCTTCTGGCTCACTCTCCTAATGGCTGCAATGGCCAAGGTTGGGCCAGACTAAGGCTAGGAGCCTGGAGCTTCTTCTGGATCTCCCACACGGATTGCAGAGAGCTGGGGGCTTGAGCCAGCTCCTGCTACCCTCCAGGGTGTCCAATAGCAGGAAGCTGGAATAGGAAGTGAAGCTGGGACTTGAACTGTACCACTCTGATACAAGGTGCGGGTGTCTGGAGTGGAGCCCTAGCTTCTGCTCTGAACGCTGGGGGCGTTTAGAAGGCAAAGAGGACCACTGCATGCATGTGTGTGTAGCTTTTCCGGGTGGGACTGAGGTTCTCCAGGTTGGTGAAAAGGTTACAAAGGCTGAGCGACAGCGGTGCGGGTGGAGATCCCCACAGTGCCACGCACACAGCTCACGTTCTTGCCGGCTGATGCTGGGAGCCCCTGGGAGCAGGGCTCGTACTGTGGGGTTTTGGAGTCCCTGCACCTGGGGCCTGCAGTGGGACTTCCTATACACTCAGATGCGCCACTTCATTAGGCCCTCAGCTCAGCCCAGCCGGGGCTGCTGGACGCAATCATTGAACGACTTTCACATCTCAATGCTCCTGCGTCCCTGGGTACAAAGAGGCCAGCACAGGGTGGGGAGGAGGGAGGCTGGGTCTGGGATGTTCCTGCCCGTGAAGGCCCCTCTCCTACTAGTAACCCTCGCCCCCTCCTTCCGGCCCAGCCTGAGCCTGGTACCACACCCTGCTTTGTGACTGCTCCTTAAGCTGGCGGCTCACGCTGGGGCTCCGTCCTGCTTCCCTCCGGTGAGGAGGCAGGTCTGTTGGCAGCTGAGTGAGCACAAACACCTTTTCAGCTCAACCTTTGAAGACTGCAGAGTCTGCTTGTTACAAGGACTTCTCGCAGCTGAACACACAGTGCTTGGCCATGACCTGGGGAGCTCTCTCTTTCATCGGCCAGATGCTTTGGTACATGAAGATGCAGAGCCTGGAGGATGTACTTGGACTTTGTAGCCAGAGAAAGCCAAGTGGCTTCCCGGGGTTGTTATTTCAAGGAGAAAACTTGCAGTGGCGACAGTAAACCCCAAGAGGGCAGCATTTGGCTGCTTCCCTGTGCTCAGGGGTTAGGGTTTGCGCTGGGCTGCAGATCTTGGGGGTGAGCCGACCTTGGGGTCTGGATTCCCTCTTGGGTTTGCCCCCATGTCATGCTTTTGGCACACCTGGGATGGCCCAGGGGGAGGGTAGAGGTGCTTGGCTCTTCATGATTTTCTCTTCTTGTTGAATCGTGCTTTGCTGGACTGAAGCACCAACTGTGTGCATCCAGAGAGCCACATCTTTCTAATACCCTCAGCTTGCTTGGGCTACGACTGAACGGACTCTTCCAGGAGCCTGGACCACTGCCTCATGCCCCTATGCCTCGGCTTAATCAGGGAGCAGACCTTGTTTAGTTAGAATCCCACATGGGTGCCGGTTCAATTCCCAGCTGCTCTGCTTTCCATCGGCTCCCCGTGCCTGGGAAAGCAGCAGACGATGGCCCAAATCCTTGGACCCCTGCGCCCACACAGGAGAGCTGGAAGAAGCTCCTGGCTTTGGACCAACCCAGCTCCACCGCTTGCAGCCATTTGTTGGGTGAATCAGCAGATGGAAGGTTACTTTTTCTCCACCCCCTCTGTGATTCTACCTTTCAAATAAATAATATTTTTAAAATGCCTATCTCTACTAAAGTCAGGGCCATTGACTTTAGGTTGGGGACTCTTTCCGTTTTTACACTGAAATCCTGGACCCAGGACCAGACAGGATCTTTCTCCCCTAAGCGCTCTAAATATCATGCAGGCTGAGGGGTGAGAGCTGACTTGTGAATAGCATCTTGTAGGAAGGAAGTACGATAATCTCATTCAAAACCACTGGAGCTAAAGGAATTTTTAAGGAAATCGAACATCAAACCCCTACTTGAGCACCTGTGAGGTGCTCGCGAGAGTCCACTTCGGAATTTTGAGAGTACCATGATTTATTATTTTGTTTCTAAGCACGTGAAAGCTGTGGACAGCAAACAAGCTGTGCTTCCAGAAGTGAACACTAGGTGTCAGCATGGCTCTGCATGTCTGCGGATTGGGGTGATCTGCTCCCGGGTGTAGGGTGTAAGGCTAGGTAACTGTGGGCTATGGGGTGAGAAATCTCCATATCTGGGAAAGCCATGCATTTGCCCTACACTTTGCCACGACGTGGAGGACGCTGTAACAGCTGCCTTCTGCCGGGTTATCCAGAACTCCGTCTCCCCGTCCAGTTCTCACCTGCTTCCTCCCCAACCCTCTGCTCTGGCAGAGGTGTGCCGGCTGTCATTACTGTCATCCTTGCCCTTGCCCGTGATCTCGGCAGCTTACTGCATCCTTTCGTCTGAGAACCGAGATCCCAGACAGGCAAGGGATGTGTTTTGTGTCTCTCCGGGGTAGAGAGTTCTGTGGTGCGCGCTGCAAATACAACAAAATGCAAACAAAGGATGTGGTTTTTAAAGAAGAAAACGCTCCATTGCCTCATCTGACCTCAGTCCCCAGTTCCTTTAAGTGACCCTCCAACCCCCAAGCCTGGGGAATCTGGCTTGCCTCCCACAAGGCCTCCTGTATGCCCCGCCCTTCGGCAGCCCTGCGGTCACCGTCAGGCACGGAGACCCCCTCGCCCCCATGGGACCCAGGCTGCTGCTCCCTGTGAGGCTGCAGCCGTGGGCTCTGACCCGTGGATGCAGAGTGCTTACCCTTCCCTGCCCTGTGCTGCTGACACGACAGATGTCTGCTGGGCATGCCGGTCTCATCCTGGCCTGGATCCCCTGGGGATTCTGCTTTGTGTCTGCACTCAGGGTCCCTGAGGACTGGGGTCTGAGACAGCCCAGCACAGTGCACCCCCGGAGAGCCAGGCCAGCCATGCGTCAGTCAGCTGCATCTCCCAAATCCTGCGTGCAGGTGTGGCGTAGTGCTCGACTCCCCTGCCCTCACACCCTCAGGGGTCCTATTCATGCACTTGGGGGCAGTACTGGGTGTCTTGAAGAGGAGGGTAGGGTGTCAGTTAAACCTGTCACCATGGACTCTTGGTTCTGTGTGTGTCTCGAGAGTGAGAACCTGAACAATCCCTTGGTCATCCCAACTGCAGCCAATGTGCATAGCTTAGACCCCAGGTGGCCCTCTGCCCGCCCGCCAGCAGCCCTTTGCTGGGCTCTGGGCTCCACGGGCCAGTGGCCGAGATGCCCTTTGCACTTGCTCTCCTGGACACTAGCTGGGTTCTCAGGCATCACAGCAGAGGGACCTTCTCGTCCCCTTGTCATCCCCATGTCCCTCTCTGCTTGAAGAACCTCTGGAGCTTTCTTTTTTAAAAAGTTGTATTTATTTATGTTTAAAGTCAGAGTTGCAGGGGGAAAAAGAGGGAGAGAGGTCTTTCATCTGCAGGTGCACTCTCCAGATGGCTAGAGCTGGGCCAGGCTGAAGCCAGGCGCTTTCTCCAGATCTCCCATATGGGTGCAGGGGCCTACGCACTTGGGCCAGGTTCTGTTGCTTTCCCAGACACTGCAGCAGGGAGCCACACTGGGAGTGGAACAACCGGGTCTTGAATCGGTGCTCATCCGGGATGCCAGCATCACGAGCAGTGGGCTTTATCTACCATGCCACAATGCCAGTCCTGAGATTTCTTTATCTGCTTGTACACCACAAAATAAAATCAAAAGGACATCTTCGTGTGGAGGGAGTGAAGGGGAGGGCAGCGGGCGTCCCAAAAGCTGGAGGAAAGCATCAGTGTTGTGAACAGTGTTGTCCTCTCCTGTGCAGGAAGAAGGAGCAGCCCACAGACAGGCTGCAGGTCGAGGGCTGGCGGGGGCAGGAGTCTGCGCACTGCCAACTGGGTCACTCCCTTGCCTGTTTGATGAGCATGTTGAGATATCGTTTTAAAACAGTGTTTATTTGAGAAGCAGAGTTATAGAGGTAAGAAGGAGAGACATAGAGATCTTCCATATGTTGGTTCACTCCCCAAGGGCTGCAACAGCCAGGACTGGGCCAGGCCGAAGCCAGGAGCCAGGAGCATCATACAGGTCGCTCACGTGGGCGCAGGGGCCCAAGCACTTTGGGCATCTTTGGCTGCTTTCCCAGGTGCATTGGCAGGGGTCTGCACTGGAAATGGAGCAGCCGGTACGTGAACTAGTGCCCATAAGGGATGTCGGCCTCAGAGGTGGCAGCCTAACTCGCTCTGCCACAGCACCGGCCCTGGGATCCTGTGTTGAGCCCAGGGTTACACCTGCACCTGGTTGAATGAAGCTCACAGTTCCTGTTCCCAGTTACAATGTGGTGCCCATAACCAGTGCACACCTGTGTTCTTGACTTTACAGAATGGACTTCGATGACGAAGATGGCGAAGGCCCCAGCAAATTTTCCAGGTAAGTTGATTCTATTCTCAAGTTAAACACTGGCTGTCAGCTTTAATGCAGTCCTTCTTTCTTTTTTTAAGATTTATTTATTTTTATTGCAAAGTCAGATATACAGAGAGGAGGAGAGACAGAGACAAAGATCTTCCATCCATTGATTCACTCCCCAAGCAGCCACAATAGCCAGAGCTGTGCTGATCCAAAGCCAGGAGCCCAGAGCCTCTTCTGGGTCTCCCACACGGGTGTAGGGTCCCAAGGCTTTGGGCCATCCTCAACTGCTTTCCCAGGCCACAAGCAGGGAGCTACATGAGAAGTGGGGCTGCTGGGATTAGATCCAGTGGCCATATGGGATTCCAGTGCGTGCAAGGTGAAGATTTAAACTACTAGGCTACTACACCAGGTATTATTTCTTCTTAAAACAGAGACTGAGAGTTCAAGCTTAGGAAAAGATAGGTCCTTTTTTTTTTTTCTGTCCATGAAGAAAATAAGGAAAAATATGAGAAATTGAGCTGGTACTGTTCTGAGTACAGGCCCTGAGAACTGTGTCACCCCCGGCCACGTGATGGCACCTGAGGCAGGGCTCAACAGGTCGTCTTGAGTATGGACCGCTAGGCCAAGAGGCGAGCTGAACACAAACGCTGGTACTGCAATGTCCAGGGCAGGCACGAGTGATAAAATGGGTCCAGCCTCGGACTCTGTGCTTCGTCTCGCTTTGTGTCAGGCGTGGCAGTCATTTGTTTTAGCCACTGGATGCAACTGCAGAAGTATTCCCGTCATTCTTTGCAGCATCCCCATCTATCTGCACTTGCCCACGCCTCCTGGTCATCCAAGCCTTGCTCACGCTCGGTGGCTCGTGAGCCCCAGACCTCGTCTTAGGTGGTGGTGGCTGTGCTGGTCGCATGGCTGGCAGGGCGTGGTGGCTCCGGAGTCCTGTGTGTTCTGCAGCATTGATTAGAAGGGTGTCCTCTCTGCTGGCCCATCCTGGGCTGCCCATCCACCTGGCAGTCTGGGCTGTGTTTCCTGCTAATGGTCGTTGTCTCGCTTTCCCGTGAGTCTGGCCAACGCCTTGGTGTCATTACTTTCCAGGGGTCTCCACATCTGTAGAGAACTTCCCATCTTCTCAGCAGCTGCCCTGTTGGGGACCCTGCCCTTCCTTTCTCTGGCTGCAGTGTGGGGTGGATCAGCAGGGAGGAGAGCCCCTCTACCTTGCGATCTCCAGGGACCTTGGAGTTGATCATCAACCCCGCCAGCCTGAGCTGTGCCTCCCCCCATCCCATGCAGATGAAGCCCCGGCCTGGGTGCCCACCCATTTTCCTAGGATGCATTGTAGGAGCAAGGGGGACCCTTTGTGCCTGAGCCTCAGCCTGGAGGGTGCCACCTACTCATGCTGATGTTCTCCTGCCTTCCAGGGGCTCCTTTATAAGAAGTGGGGGCTTTGAGTCCACTGTGTCCTGTCACACTCTGTGACCCCGCAGGAAATGGGGATCCCTGGGCTCTTGGGGTGTCAGGAGGGCAGATATGAGGACTGACAGCTGTTTGATGCCGAAGGTCAATGTCATTGGTGAAAGAATAGAATGGGGAGACAAAGGGCCTCTTGTCTCGGCAGCTGCTGGAGATACAGAAACCCTAGATGGTGTAACCGTCTGCTAAGCCTGCCAGTGGCAGACACGGGAGGGACTCAGACCTGGGCTCCTTCCTTCCCCAGCACCGTACAAAGAAGAGAGGAAAAACTGGCACATGCCCACATATGCAGCTGCCTTCAGGAGCCCTGAGGCCACACTGCCGTGGCACAGCTGGATGGGTGATGGTCTGAGGGTCCATCCCTACGATGCTCCTGCCTCCAGGTTGCCTATAGCTGCGACTGCTGTCTAAAGCAGCATGTCCATGATCTCTGGCTGCAGGTGCTGTGGCCCCTGGGGCTGTGTCTCTCTTTGCTGCCTATAAGGGAAGCCTAGCAGAAATGGGTGTTGAGGTGTGAGCCGGCACCTGCCTGGGCATGGCCATTGGCTGGGCATCTGTGCCAGTGTTTGTGTCCCTTGCTAGATACCGAGTCAGCTGAGCCAGCATTTCTCAGGCCCCAGCCGTCTCTCCCATGCATGGCACCTGCTGCTCAGGGGCGGTGACATGCCACATTCAGGGTTCCCTTCTCCCACACGAAGTCACAGGGAACTGCAAGGGGCAGACCTGGATTGCAGCCAGGCTGAGAGTTGACTGGCAGATGAGGAATCGGGACAAGTCTGGAAGCCGTTTAGATGTGGATGAAAATGGAGGAGGCGTGTAGGGCTCGGGGAAGCCTTAGAGGAGAAGGAAAGAAATCTGAAAGATTCCGGAGGGAGTTTGGGGTGGGTTGGGCCCAGGAAGTCTGAGCAACATGTGACAGAAAGGAGCTGCAGCTGGCACTGAGTGGGCAGCTCGAGCGGCCACCTTGTCAGTTCCGTTGGCCATGCCGTTGGCAGGCTGAGCTGCCCATTGGGCGGGCTCAGGGTTCAGGGGTGTGAGAACTCTTGGCCCGGTGTGACTTCGTGGGCCTCACCTGAGAGGTGGTGCCTTCCATCTACCTGTGGGACTGTCCACCAGGTATACCTAGGTGGTTAGGGACTGGGGTGGAGGTTTGGGGTTGCCTGCTTTTGACCTCAGAGTCTTGGGTGGTGCAGGCCCTGAAGCAGGGTTGAGGGGGTTCAGGTTTGCCGGGAGGGTGGATGAAGGGGCAAAGGGCAGCAAAGGAAGGTCTGAGAGCTGCCCATGTGGGAGACACAGGAAGAGGAGGGAGGCTGCAGGTGCAGCAGGAAGTCCGTGAGAAAAAGTTGTCTCCTGGTGGGAAGCCGTGGCCCTGGAGAAGCTGGCTGAGCTGCAGCAGTGAGAGCAGTGAGAGCAAGACTTGGCGACAGAAGAGAGGCTGAACCTGGGGAGCATGATGCTGGGTGTGAGGGGCTCAGAGTCTGAGAAATAGCCAATGGTGGCTGGGATGAGGGCCTTCAGACAGCGTCCGAGGCTGTGGAGGGACATACAGGAGTGAGCAGTGAGGCCTGGGAGCCTGGGGCATGACCTCAGCCCTGCCTCTCAGAATTCCAGTCCCCAGCTCCCTCGTGCCAGCAGCTGAGGCCGGTGAACTTCCCCTTCTTTGGATCAGTCTGACCAACTTAGGGAAGATTCCTGTATGTGCGGAATTCAAACTCGGTATTTGTACCATAACAAACTTCTCTTTTTCGAAAAGTATTTATTTTACTTATTTGAAAAGCAGAGTTACAGAGAAAGAGGGAGAGAGACAGAGAATCTTCTTTCTGTTGGTTGGCTTTCCAAATGGCCACAGCAACTAGGTCTGGCCCAGGCCAAAGCCAGGAGCCTTTTCCATGTGGGTCTCCCATGTGGGTACAGTGGCCTGAGCACTTGGGACATCTTTCTCTCTCTTTTCGGTTGCATAAGCAGGGAGGCGGACAGGAATCAGCGTAACTGGGACTCGAACATGCACTCCAGTATGGGATTGGAAATGACAGCTTAGCCCACAGCACCATGGTGCAGGCCCTATCACCCTGACTTCTGTTGGGTTCAACCCTGCCCTTGCCCCTATGGCACTGCCGTGCCCATTGTTGTGGACTCAGCATGCGGTCTCCAAGGAACTTGGCACAAAACTCCCTGCCGGTGGACTCGCTGTGACCCCCCTCGCCTGGAGCCTGGGGACGTTGGATCTCCCCGTTGTGTTGGCTCATGGATCCTGCCTTACGCATCGGCTGATCTGCGGGTGAACTCCACTGTGAGTGAGTTAGTGGCGCTTACGGCCCTCTGAGCTTCCCTATGCTATCAATCCTTTTGGTCCTTCCCTTTGTTCCTTAGGGTATTGAAGCTGGCAGGCATTTCCGCCCTCGTGGCTTTGCAGATTGCAATAGATGTTGTTTTCATCTTTCTGCCGGAGCGTCCCACCCTGTTTTGTTTATAGGTATGATAATCAAATCCACTGGATGGGGAAAAATATGCAGGCTGGTATGTTCTGTGGATATCTTTCTTGGCATCAAAGGGATTGTTGGTTCCCAGAATTCTTGGTCTGTCATCCCAGCTTAGAGACCTGCTTATTTCATTTTTGGGTTAAAAAAAAACACACACACAAAACCAAAAAAACCCCACAAACACTCAAAGTCCTTGTTAGGAATCTGCTTAATCCGGGAGGCAGAGGGTCAGAGAGGGTTCCCATCCACGGATATACTCCCCGATAAATGACTACAGCAGGTGGTGCCTGGCTGGGCCCCAGCCCAGAGCTGGAAGCTGCATCCAGGTCTCCCCTGTAGCTGGCAGGGACCTGCTGCCCAAAGCCATCTTTACCTGCTGCCTGCAAAGGCTGCCCATGAACAGGGAGCCACAGTTTGGAGCAGCACTGGGACTCAGAGCCGGGCATTGCTAAGAGGCGAGGGCATCCTAAGTGGGGTTTTCACTGCTGGCCTGCACACCAGCCCCTCACATCTCTTCACCACAGAAGGGACAGCCAGGTAGCAGTGAGGATTAGCCTGTCTGCTCTGATCCTAGCAAGCCAGCTTGTGTGTGTGTGGTGCGAGACACAGCGTATGGGGCCACGCAAGCTCTCACTGAACACAGGCGTGAGCTGGGCATTTATGCACAGCCGGGCTAGGTGCTGCCGCAGACCACGGCTTCAGTGCCGGCTCCCAACTCCCAACCAAGCTTCCTCCCATCTCCACCTCCTCATTGCAGCAGAAGGTGTTAAAGATAAGCTGGGGACACCTCGGCCCAGGGCAGCCTGCAAACAACCAGAGTCCCTGCTGTTTCAGGGGCTCAGGGTTGGACCACACTGGGACAGGATTTTTTTAGGGGGTTGCTCCAACATCAGGTCTACATGGTTCACTCGTCTCTTGCCCTGAGCCAGGTCTCTGGCCGGCAGTTTGACATTCCTCTTTGCCGTGTTCACTGACCCTGTCTCCTGCTTTTCTGCTGAACAGGTTGAACCTTAATCCCAGATGGTGTATCTGGCTACAATAGGGTTTGGGAAGGAAATTGTTTCTAGAATCCTGGGTGGTCCCAGGTGGTGTCCGGGAGCTGCCCAGCGTTTTCCTTCTCCCATAAAGCCCCCTCAGTTGTAGTTCAGTGTCTGGATCCTGCTGGGCTCTGCAGGGGAGCAGGTGGTGAGAGATGCAGCAGCAGGTCCTGGGACAGACCCGGCTCAGCTTCCAGCAAGTCCGCGCACTTGAGCTGATGATGGCTGCTCTGCTGTAGAGAGAGGAGCTCTTTGCCGCGGGCAGCCCTGAGGATTCTGTGCAGTTGAGGTGTGAGATGCTCCAATTCCTCTGTGTGTGTGTGTGTGTGTGTGTGTGTGTGTGTGTGTGTGTGTTTTCCCCTGGGAGTACTGGGCCTGAGCCGGCCCTTGGAGGATCCAGGATTTCTTAGATTCTGCTCTGTGTTTGTGTGAGCCTGAGATGCACTTGGACACGTGGGTTTCTGGGAAGCCCCCCTCCATCCAGCCTGGCTAAAACAGAAGGCCAGCTTCCAGGTGCCAGCACACATCTGGGGAGATGAGTGTGTGCTGTGCCCTGCCCACAGCCTGTCCCCAAGCCTGATGGCTCTGAGTGTGGCAGCTGCTCGGTGACATGTATCCAGGCACCCAGGAAAAAGCACCTGGCCCATTTCCAACAAGTTTGTTGCTGTGACCACTGCAATCCAGGGAACCATGTGATTCCCCGTGGGGGGTGGGGGTGTAGAGGCTGAATGAGGCAGGCCCTGGGGCTTTGGTGGCACAGCTGCCTTGCACGCGGTCCCTGTGTGTCCTATATTGCTATGGAGCTGGCAGTGAGCTGTGACTTGAAGGCTGACCTCTCATATTGGCACCCTGGCAGAGTGGAGTCTGCAGCTGGACCCGGCCAGGCCTCTGTTAGACTATGTCAATCTCTTTGATGATTTTAGGGGTTCGCAGCCTTGACGTGGGTAAACAAGAGTAAAGCAAGGCATCAGGGTTCTTGCATGGCTTCTCTCAGGTAGCTCTGCCTGGGATTTCATAGCTGCTTAGGGTCCTGGTTCCGGGATGGATCCCTGGAGCTTTTTCTTAGAGCAGTGTCCCTTCACACACACTCCTGGCAGCCTCTCCTTACCCTTAAGGCTGTAAGGGAACAGCAAGGAAGGTGCCTGCACCTGCTGTTACACCTGCTCACCGTCTATGATGGCTGGTGGCCCCTGGGCTCTGTCTTATGCAACATTAGCTCCAGCATCCCACATGGTGCAGTGATGGGGGACTGCCCCCCAGTCTAGGGGCTGCTGTGTTCAGTCAATATGTGCCAGGTCTGCGCTTCCCTCCCTGTGCGAGATGGGAGCCACTTTTAGGATGTTCTTCATTGAGGGTTTGTGCTGTCGTCTGTGTGCTTTGCCTCCAAAGGGAGGGTCCCTTTGGAGCAGGCCTGGGGAGAACCCCAGTTCTTTCTCTAGTGACCCCAACCCTGGGCTCTCCACCACTGTTTCCCAGGGTCCCCTGTCCCCAGGAGGTGTTCCTCTGCCGCCCGCAGAGTCCCTCGACTGGCTGCCATCTATGCAGGAGCTGATTGCTTAACAAAAGCCTCTCAGGGGTGACAAGCATGGGTCAGTGGGTGGGGTAGCTCTGGCTTCCCAGAGCAGACCCCATAGAATCCCCTTAGTGTAAGGAGGCGGCAGCCTTAACCTGTCAGATGTGGTCCTGGAGATAGCCCCTCTGTATGTACAGTGGCGTGTCACCTTCTCCCAAAGGCTGCACTGTGAACCTGGAGAAACACATGTAGGCACTCACTCCAAAAACTGCAGGCAAATAGAGGAATGTTTGAAAGTCATGTCTTGGTTGCTCTCAATACACGTTTCTGTGAAGTCCTCTCGAATCGGTGACACTTATCCATCAAAGCTGGTTGCTAGGTAACTGGCCGATCTCAAGTCCTCTAAGTCTCACTGCTAACTCATCACTTTTGTAAATCACCGGATGATCTGAGCACTTGGTGGGTTTGTCAGTGAATGGAATCTGATTTTAGAGATGTATTTATGTGAGGAGTAGAGTGACAGCAATTAATCTATCTATCTATCTATCTATCTATCTATCTATCTATCTATCTATCTATCTAGAGAGAAAGATCTTCCAAGCTCCCCCAACAGCTACGATGGCTAGGGTGGTTATAGGCTGAAAAACCAGGAACCCTGCACTCCAGTCGGGTCTCCCCTGTGGGTGGCATGGGTCCAGGGAATTGGACCATTTTTTTGCTGCTTTCCCTGGCTCATTAGCTAGGAGCTGGTTGCGGAGTGGAGCAGTCAGGACTCAAACCGGTTGCTCTGATGTAGGATGCTGGCATCACAGGTGGTGGCTTTAACTGCTGCACTATCAGTTTTTAAACAGGTGCTCTAAGGCTGTCTGCTTAGGCACCTCATCTCACAAATCGATTTATCACACATTGCGATCAAGTCACTTTAGCTCTGTGTTGAGGACCCTAACAACGACTTTACACCCTGAAATGTTTGCCAAGCAAGATTACCTATGCGGTCCGAGCTCTTTTGGAAAACAGCATCGGAAGCGGGGCTGCCTGTGCTCCCATATCAGAGCCGCTGCCGCTCGGTGTCTGAGGAGTGCTTTGCAGGTAGCTTCGGGGTTGGTGTGCAGTGAGGGGCGTGTAAAGTAAGGGCTGGGCTTGACTTTTGAGAACTGTCTGTATTTTGAGAATCACAAAGACAGACCTGCAGGGGCGTGTGACTGGAGGATGGGGAAGGGAAGTGACAAGGTGGATGCAGGACAGTGGGAGGAAAGCCCAGGCAGCCTGCCTGGCATTCTTGTGAGAAAGAGAGAGAGAGAGAAAGCAGGCGTTGAGTGGCCAGTGGCGCCTGACAGGGAAGAGCTTGAGGGGTCTGGCTTCAGGACCGGAATGCAGACTCCAGGGGCGGTGGGAGGGGGCGGGAGGGGGTGGAGTCTGCCTTGGGAGGTTACTTGGAGAGGGGGAGATGCACCCAGGCCCCAGGTCTCGGGGCAGGCACGTGCAGCCCAGCATGATGGCAGCCCGGCGTGATGGATGCAGCGTCCTAAGCCTGCATTCTTGTCTGACATCTCACAGCTCAGGCAGCATTCCCTGCATGCCGCCCCGCCCAGTTGCGGGCTGCTCTGGGCCAGACCCCTCAGGGAGTTCATCAGGCCTCTGTAGGTATGTGGAGTGGCCTGGGCCCACAGTGAGGAAGGAGGGCACAGGCAGCGGGGCATTCTGGGGAGGACCTCACCGAGAACTTCAATGAGTTCACGGAAAATGCATATATATTTTTCAAAAATTTATTTTTATTGGAAAATCAGATTTACAGAGAGGAAGATCTTCTGTCTGCTGATTCATTCTCCAAGTGGCCACACAGGCCGTAGTTGAGCCAGTCTGAAGCCAGGAGCCATGAGCTTCTTCTGGGTATCCCACGTGGATACAGGGTCCCAAGGTTTTGGGCCATCCTCGACTGCTTTCCCAGGCCACAAACAGGGAGCTGGATGGACTTTAGACACTAGGTTACTGCACCAGGTCCATAAATATATTTTTAAAAGATGAGACGTGGGCTCAGAACATTTTTTGCACCCCAGATAAATGTTTTTCATCCCATTTTTTTCTAATGTCCATCCTGCTTTGCCATTGTGGAGAGGCACAGAAGCAGTCCCTAGGGATCCAGCATGCACAAGACTCTTGTGGCTTTCCTGGTGCCACTGCTCCGCCATCCTCTTCTCTCTGCCTCTTCCATGCCCAGCAACAGCTCTGCCCCGCTGCTGCACAGTCACCTCCTCCCCTCCTTGAAAGTGTCTTAGTCGCTGGTGCTCATCTGTCTGCTTCTATCATCTTTTGCCACTCAGCTCGAAACAGCTGTTCTTGGGGACAAGGAATCCCCCCAGCCTGCTCAGAACTCCCCAAGCCCAAGGCCGGGGCCCACCCAGGGTTCCCATCCTGCCCTTCCTATTTCTCACACTCCTATCTCCAGACCCCAGATCTGCACCCTCCTAGGCTTGTCTGCTTACCATCCCCAACACCTTCCTCCCAACCTGTCACCCTATACCCAAGCCTCACCCTAGAACATACCTTTTGTCTCCAAGTTACCTTGTTCCTTCCTCCCAGCCTCTCCAATACCCAGGAACTGGCACCCGCTCTGCCCCCAGGTGGGCAGAGTGCAGTCCATCACATCCCATGTATACAGTGCATGTTTTCCCTTTCTTATGAAACCCCTGCAGCTTGGAGACTGGCACCTGCCCCTGTCTTCCTTGCTTTGTGCACCAGAAGTGAGCCGTGCATGGCTCAGGCTGCTCCACACACACCTTCTCCTGTAGGTATTGGTCTGTATAACTTTCCAGAGTCCCCCATCATTGCAGAATGAGGTCGGCTTGCTGCCCACTGTTTCCCATCTTGTTCTGAGATGCTGGTCTTGGGAGGAGGGAACAGTTTTAGTACTGGCTGGTGGAGGGGCAGAGGAAGTGCCTTGAATCTGCTTTCTGGACAGGGACATTGGAGGGAGGCTTCATTAGGGAGGAGGGAGCTGGTATGCAGAAATACTGATAGGGGCTGGTTCTGCTCAGAGTTGGACTTGACGCAAGTGGGGTCAGCCCGGAGTTTCCTGGTTCAAGAACTTCCCTGGGAAAGCAAGATCATCCTGTTATCTGGAAACCACGTGATTGCATGGTGCTGTCAGGGGCGCATGTCCAGTCCTGTCCAAGTTGATTGTCGTGGTTGGACAGCGTGTGGAAAGCATCGTGTCTCAGTCTGCTTGGAGACTTTGGTGCATGTCTGGCCTTAGCCCTGTGGGGTCTGTGTCCCCCTACACACAGACATGCGAATTGCAGCAGAGGGGCTCCTTTGCCCCCCAGTGCAGACTCCAAGCCCTCAGTTAGTGCACACTTGCCCACTTGCCCCCAGTTAACTTGGGGTCAACTGTGTGCCATTTCCTGTCCTCTGTCCTTTCCTCCTCCCAACCCTGGGCAAGTAACCACTGGTCTGATCCTTCTCTTCTCGCCCCTTCCCAACTGTGTGCCTTCTGGGAAGAGAGAACCACAGTGAGATCGAGCGGCGCCGGAGGAACAAGATGACACAGTACATCACGGAGCTGTCAGACATGGTCCCCACCTGCAGCGCGCTGGCCCGGAAGCCAGACAAGCTCACCATCCTCCGCATGGCCGTGTCACACATGAAGTCCATGAGGGGCACTGGGAACAAGTCCACAGATGGTGCCTACAAACCTTCCTTCCTCACTGAGCAGGTATGCAACCCTCTTCTTTTCCCCTCATCTCTGTCAGGGTGCCCTGGAAAGGAATGACCCTCACAGGGAGACACAGCTGCAGGTGGAGGGAAGCATATATCCCAGAATCTTTGCTGCACTGTCTGCCAGGAGGAGGGCATGTGTCCAAGTTTCTATATTCCATGTGTACCTTAAAAAGGCATTGCTCAGAGGACATGCCCCAAGCCTGTCTCCAGGCTGGCTGCCACTGGAGGAAGTGGGGAACAAGGGCAGTTCTGTGGGGTGGGATTGTGGGACCAACCTCCATAAAGTTGGGACTGACAGAGCATCACCAGGGGTCATTTGGTAGGCGTGTACCACTTGCCTGGCCCCAGTCCTGTGTTTGTGCCTGGTTTCGTCTACTCCATATTTGAGCCCAATGAAGAAGCCACAGCTACTCTCTCCCGCTGCTTAGACAAAAGTTTTGAACCTAGCTGAGTCAGCTGCTTAAGGAAGGTCTGGGTGTGGGCCCTACAAAGACAGATGGATAGAATCCTGAAGCTGGGCTCTTTTGAGGCCATTTAGTAGCCTGGGAAAAGGAACTCATGAAACAATGGGAGATCTCCCAGGAGCCGACAAGCCTGGGCAGGGAGCCCTGGACCCTCTGCAAGTGGGGCACAGGCTGATCAGCAAACCCCGCAGCTTCTGTCTGCTCATCCTGTGTGCGGAATGCCAAATTTTACGCCTGTTCCCTATTCTTAGAATTTGGCAGGATCCATGAGATGAAGCACTTTGGCTTGGCAGAGGGGCGGGGAGGGGATAAAATTATATGGTTGTCAGGGGATGCAGTTAGCAAGGACCAAAGTATGCAGAGTGTAGAATCCTAAAGGGAAGGGTTTTTTTTTTTTTTTTTTTTTTTTTTTTTTTTTTATAAAACCAGGGTTTGTGGTTAGCATGAGACAGAGAGGAAGGGGCCTGATGTTCCTCTCCTCCTGGTAGTGTCAGATGGAGATCTTAGGCAAGAGACAGCATCAGCAGGCCAGGGAGAAGCTACTGCAGGAGTACAGTAGAGGGAACAGAAGGGTTTGCTAACGGGGACCATGTGCCTGGAGCCTCAGGGGAAGCAGCAGAGTAGGCGTGGGAGGAGATGAGTAGGCGTTTGTTCTACTGGAACCTAGTCTATTTCTGCCATGGGAGTTGGGCTTAGAAAGAAAACGAGGGAGGAGAAAGTGGTTTGTCACTGTCTATTCTATGGCAGATGGCTTAGCAGGGCTTTATTTCATCCCTTCAAAAACCCAAGGATGGATCACGTGGTCCCTCACTTGGCAGGTGCACAGGTACGGCAGTGAGGCGAGCACATAGAGAAAGGAGCTCAAGCTTCAAGCTCCATGTCCGCCGTGGCAGGAGTGACAGCAGCGATGGCTTATGGCTCCAGTGGCTGTGGTACATGGCAAGGGCGACTGGGAGTCAAAAGTTATTTTATTAGTTTAAAAGACAGAGACACAAAGAGAAGAAGAGAATCTGTCTTGATTCTCTCCCCCAGATGCCTGAGGCGGGGCTGGGTTGGGCTGAAGTCAGGAGCTGGGAACTTTATCCTGTCTCCCACACGGATGGCAAGAACTCAGCTACTTCAGCAGTCACTCCTGCCTCCCGGGGTGTGCATTAGCGTGAAGCTGGGCTTGGGAGTGGAGTAGCTGAGACTTGAGCCCACCAACGGACAGTGGGCCTGTGAACTGCAGGAATAAATTCCACCCTTTGAGTGACTAAGGGTTAGGAAAGGAGAGAAGAGCAGAGAGATGCCTTGCAGGTGTCTGAATCATTCCAAGCTTCCCCTCTCGGCTTCTTGGGTGAAGGTCATGGTTGTGCTGGTGGAGAATACCTACTGCGTGCTTGCAGAGAGCACCCAGGCCCTTACTGAGTCCACAGGAGCTCACTTAACCTGGGAAGAGCTCCCTGGAGAAAGCTGACGTGGATCCGGGCAGGGGAGCCAAGGACATTGAGTTCCATGCTCACAGTTGCGCATCTGAGGGAACTGGCCATAGGTGACAGTCCCCCTTTCCTCTGCAATGCAGACTCTTGGGGCCCACGCTGTGGCACAGCAGGTAAAACCAGAATCTCATCTGGGTGCCGGTTGGAGCCCTGGGTGCTCCACTTCCAATCCAGCTCTTTGTGCTAATGCGTGCGGGAAAACAGCAGAAGGTGGCCCGTGTGCTTGGGCCCTGCCACCCACGTGGGAGGCCAGAAGGAAGCTCCTGACGACTTCAGCTTGGTCTAGCCTGAACTACTGCAGCCATCAGGGAGAGTGAGCCAGTGGATGGACGATCTCTTTTTCTCTCTTTCCCTGTAACTCTGGCTTTTAAGTGAACAAACAAATACATCTTAAACAGAGAGATTCAGGCTTTAGCCCCTATGGAACCAAGGAAGGGCCTGGATTCTGAAGGAATAAGTGATGTACCCCGCCACTCGAAAGATGGCACTGGGGAGGAGGAAGCCACGGGAACACAGGGAACACAGGTCCCCTCCCATGGGACCTTCCCACAGTCCTCAACAGCCCTGCTCCCACGACCGAGAATTCTCTACCTTCCCAGACAGCCTGCCGTTTCTTTCCTTTTTTTTTTTTTTAACTGTTCTTCCGGTTGGGAAGATCTTCCTAATACTGAAAATAAAAAATGCTGACCCCATCCTCTGACCTCAGGAAGCGCACTAGAGGCACAGACAGGCAGAAGTGCAAAGTGGGTGAAATGGGTGAAACCGATGTTCCGTTCAGAAGCACGCATGGGGTCTGCCTGCATCCTGCCTTCCCAGGCGGAGGTGTTCCCTGTTGTAGCCAACCCAGGGCTGAGAGACTCCCAGGCGGTGGTGTTCCCTGTTGTAGCCAGCCCAGGGCTGAGAGACTCCCAGGGAGCTCCCCAGGTTGTGCTCTGGGGCAGTCAACAGCTCCAGGAACTCATGCAAGGACTTTTCTTTCTTTTTTTTTTTATTAATTATTTTTTATTGGAAAGCCAGGTTTACACAGGGAAGGAGAGACAACAATCTTCCATTTACTGGTTCACTCCCCAAATGGCCTTAATGACCAGAGTTGAGCTTATCTGAAACCAGGAGCTAAGAGCTTGTTCCAGGTCTCCCATGTGGGTACAGGGTCCCAAGGCTTTGGGCCATCCTCGACTGCTTTCCCAGGCCACAAGGAGGGAGCTGGATGGGAAGTGGAACAGATGGAACATGCACTGAAGCCCATATGGGATCCCAGTACTTGCAAAGGGAGGATTAACCAATGGAGCCATCATGCTAGGCTCAATGACTAGGGTTTCGGGCAGAGCTGGAGGCTCCAGTTGTTTGCATTTTGCCTCCACTCTGCTGGACATGCCTTATGACTTCGTTTGAGGTCATGAGGTAGGTATACAGTTGGCCATGCCTTATGATTCCATTTGAGGTCATGAGGTAGGTACATGGTGCCTGGGCACGCCGGCGCAGGTGGGAGAGCTGCTTCCCTACCTCTTGCAGGTGCAGAGTGCTGTGGCTGAGCCTGCTGCGAAGGTGGCATTGCTTGAGCTGCCTTCAGGCACCTTTGAGAAAACACACCACACTAGCAAAGCCTCATCCCTGGGGCATGATGGCTAGCCCCTTGCTACCTGCTCACTGATCCCAAGCAGCTTCCTTCCACCTCTGCTAACAGTCCCCGCATGCCCAGAGCTGAGGCTCTGGGCATGTAAGATGAGCTAGACTAGGCCATGGTACCTATCAGTCAACATGAGAACCACATCTGGGGGTGTGTCAATTAGGGCTGGGCTGTTGTACCCACTGGCATTAGCTCAAAGAGGTGCAGGTCTGTCAGGCAGGGCTATGGTACCTCACCAATGAGAAATATGACTAGGGCATGTCACCATCAGGGGATCTGGGTAATACTACCTGCCCACTGCCTTTGAGGTGAATCCTGGATGCCTGGCACACAGCTAGAGGCACTTGGCTCAGAAACACAGGGAGGTGACAGCACCGGAGGTCAGAGGTGGGCAGGAATACAGGCCTCACTCCTTCCTTTGTTTTTGTTTTTTAAAGCATTATTTATTTGAAAGGCAAAATTACAGATGGAGTGGGATAGGTTTTCCATCTTCTGATTCATTCCCCTAAATGGTCACAACAGCCAGGACTGGGCTGGGCTAAAGCCAGGAGCCAGGAACTCCATCTGGCCCTCCCACGTGTGTACAATGGCTCAAGGAACTGGGCCATCTTTTGCTACTTTCTCAGGCAAATTAGCAGAGTTGGATAAGAAGTGGAGCAATGGGGACTTGAACCGGCACCTCAGTGAGGTGTCAGTGTCGCAGGGCATGGCTTAAACTGCTGCCTCCAGCGCTCTTGGATGAGCTCTCCTTGTTCTCCACAGTGGGAATTTCCTCTTTCTCCCAGGAAGGACTAAGGCAGAGCCACTTCCGTTTAACAGAGCTGTATCCTAGGGGTGCGGGTTACAAGCTTTATGTATGTTTCAAGCTTGTTTTTTTGGGGGGGGGGTGGGTTAAAAAGGAAGACAATAAAAGCACTCGTTTGGGCACCACGTTGAGTATCTGAATGATGGAAGCGGAGGGCTGCCACTGGGTGTGCCTTGTCTCCCACTAACTGCCGTGCTTTCTCCCCAGGAACTGAAGCATCTCATCCTGGAGGCAGCTGACGGGTTTCTGTTTGTGGTGGCAGCCGAGACTGGGCGAGTGATTTACGTGTCCGATTCTGTCACACCCGTCCTGAACCAGCCGCAGTCGGAGTGGTTCGGGAGCACCCTCTATGAACAGGTGCACCCTGATGACGTGGAGAAGCTGAGGGAGCAGCTCTGCACCTCGGAAAACTCAATGACAGGTCAGTGCTGCTCCTCTAAGGAGTCCATTGGCTGTTTGCTCGGGTGCTGATTCATGTTTAAATCTATCCTGATCTTTCTTTTTTACCTGCAATACACGTGCCTCACCACCAGGAGGCATTGGTGTATCTATGTCAGTGCACAGCTGGTGTGAGGATTTTCCACTCTGATCCACAGATCCTGATGACTCAGAGTTCAGTTACCTGACTTGTAGTTCCTTATTCAAGCATTGAAATAGGCAAGTTCTGCTGTAACATAATCCACGGAGTACGTGAAGAGCCCAATGCTCACTCATTGACAAATGCATGACAAGTGCAGAGAAAGGCCGAAGTGGGAACCTAGCACAAGTGGTTGTATTAGCTTTTCATATTGTTTGGCTAAGAAATTCGTAATCCTGGCCCTTGACCCTGACAAGGACCTACAGCATGCCCCTGGAGGTGCTCTTGCATGCTCTTGGGAAGTGGTGGAAGGATAGTGCTGTGCTGTCAGGAGGCAGTTTTAACTCCAGCGTGCGTCTGTGTGGCTTGCTGTGCAGGGTGCATCGACAGGGACGGCTGGTCGGTGTCTGAGGTCTGTGCCTTCAGCTGGTCCTATGTGGGCGGCTCAGCTGAGTGTAGTTTTCTGTGTTTATGTAGTGTTTCTTGCAGCCTTGCAAAACTAAAATTCACATCACATTGTTCTCTGATGGATGAATCACCTGGGAACACATTTGCAAGTGCAAAGCAAGTGTCTTAGCAGTGGGCTACCACGTGACAGAGACATTTATGCTGTCTCCTTCCTCCAGCCACGGTGTGCTTGGTGCTTTCGTCAGAGCAGGCAGTCAGTTCCCCAGCAGAGGTGGTAACTGCTGGGCACCTGGTTTCTGCCTCATAGATGTCACCTTCGAGCTGTGTCCTCTGTAGGCACCATGAGGGTGCTAGTACCCCCGCGGGGGCACCCTCGTGACCCAGGTACTTCCTCACACGTGCGTCTTGAGGACTGGAACTGCTGCCTAAGAGCCTGGGGGATGTGTGGGTGCTCTACCCATTGGGCCTGAGAACGAGGTGTGGCAGGTCTGTGCTCCCTGCACGTCTCCCTCCCGTGGCCTACGGATAACTCCCTTTCCTCCATGCCATCCACTGTCCTCCGTGCTCATGGGGGCAGTAGTGGCCCGGTGGCCCCTGTCAAAGGCCTTGCCCCCAGTGCAGTCACACCCTGGGGAATCGGGGATTATGTCTGGCAGAACATGGATTGTGCAGTGTACACAACTTCAACCCATGATGCTTTCAAGGCCAAGCCAGATGACACAAGTGACAGAAGAGGGTGGCCATTTGGGCTGACAGTTGAGGGACCTGTGTCCCCCATGGCAGGACCTGGATTCAGCCTGCAGCTCTGGCTCCTGCTGGTGCAGACCCTGAAAGGCAGCGGTGATGGCTGAAGTGGCTGGTTCCCCCCGTGAGTCATGTGGGAGACCTGGCTCAAGTTCCTCCCTCTCAGCTTTGCAGGCGTTAGGGGGTGTGAACCTGCAGATTGCAGCTTGTTCTCTCTGTTTCATTGTCTTCCTGCCTCTCAGGCCAACCAGGCAATAGAAGTCTGGCTGTTTCTGAAGCCTTGGATATGAGTGATATGAAAAGGGGAAGGAAGAGGAAGTTGTGAGGCAGGGCCTGGGTCTTGTTTGGCCTAGGGTCTCCCTGCCTGCTGGTTAACAAGTAGTGCTAAAGGAGACCCGGAGAGGTTTGCTGTGTGCCGGTGCCCTGAGATAAGCAATGGAGCACAAGAGAGAGATCCTAAGGACTCTGCTAGACAAAGCAGAGGGGAGGATGAGCAAGAGAGGACGGGAAGAGCCCGTCTGATGGCCACATTCACCTCTGGGATGAGCTGTCTTTTCCCAGACTGCTTTGTCGGAACACAGGATGTGGCTTCTTGGAACCTGGTCCAGTGACCCCTGCTAGGCAGGGGAAGTGGCAAGGGCATAGCTTACCAGGGCTGAGTGAACTTGTTTGTCTCTTTGAAGTCCATCAGAATATTTTTCGTTGTGTATTTATTTGAAAAGGAGAGGAATTTTGCAAATGAAAGAGAGGAAAACAAAAAACAAAACCTTCCAACACTTAACTCCTTCTCTAAATGCCCATGGCAGCTGGACCAGGCCAGGACTGGAGATGAAAGTTAGGAATGCAGTCTAGGTTGGCCACACAAGGGGTGGGACCCGAGGACTCAGCCATCATTGCTGCCTGCCTGGGGCTGCATCCACAGGAAGCGGAGCTGGGAATTGAACCCTGGGCACTCCAAAGTGGGCTGTAAGATGGACAGTCACCTCCTCATGTGAAATCTTAGTGGATCTGACAGGTTCAAAGGGGCAGTGAGGGCTGTATTTATCAGAAATGCCTTTAGGGTGGACATTGGGCATGTGGCCATGGCAGCCACAGCTGGCCGGCAGTGCAAGAAGTCTACCGAGATGCTGGAGGCAACCTTGGTGAGCGGTGGCCAGCCAGGTCTCTGGGCTCCTGGCCAACTTCCTCCTGGGAGGATCAAGGCAGGGCTGGGGAAGCCAGTCTGTGTCCTTAGGATGGAGTCCCTGTTGGAGCTGTACCTTGTGTGCATGAGTGCCTGGGAGATACATCTAAGCCTAAGGGTGGGGAGGGTTGTGTGTGCACCATGGGTGGGTACCGTGAGATGATTCTGTGGCCCATGGTGGACAAAGCCCCGCTCCTTCCAGGTACCAGTGGCGGGCAGGTAAAGGGCTGAAAACTTGGCAAACCTAGAAGATGCCCGTGGAAGGAACTGGGAGAGGGGATTCACGAGGGTTGGCAGGGCTGGATATGGGAGCCCCAGTGCCTGCCAGAGACCCGGTGCCTGCAGAAAAGAAAGACCATGAACTTAGCCTAGGCTGAAGTGACAGCAAACCACACCTCCTACCTCATTGTGAGGGACTGACTTCCGGCACGGAAGACCCCGTGCTGCTAACGAGAGTGTGTCAGGCATCACAACAGATGGATTCCATGTTGTGAGCTTACCCGCCCAGCCAAGCTCGCTGGTAACCCCCACACTAATCCTCATGGAGCTTTCATGACTGTTAGTGGGCACGCCCAGGGCAGGGGGCAGGCTTGAGCTGCTGGATGTTGACGTGCCCAGCTGAGTTTGAACAAAGCCACGTGCCCTGCCTTCTACTCTCAACTCTGCAACTAAGGTGTAGCTGCTGACTCCTCCCTCCCTCTCTCTCTGCATTTCTGTTGTTGATTTAGCTGTGCAGTGTTGTGTTCCTCAGCACCAGGAGGAAGTGTGTGTGTGATGAGCTTCGTTCACAAATGAGTTACAGCTCTTGGCTGTGAGTTTGATGGTGCTGAACCAACAGTGCTTGATAAACAGACGCAGCAAACAAGGGCAGGTATTGACCAGTCGGCAAGAATGCTGTGACAGTGTGGCCAAACAAGCTCCGAAACTAATTGGAGGAGTTGCTGGGTCCGCTTGCCTGCTGCATGGAAAGCCACCAATCCATGTTCAGCCTCTATGAGTTCCCGGCTGTTGCTGAATGGAGGCACCTTCTTATCCCCCTTCATTGCTTAATGGTTCTAGCCCAAAGTCTTTGGGCGGTAATGTGGAGGAGAACTGGAGCCAGGCCAGTCTCCAGGGGGCATCAGCTGGAAAGCCCCCGTGTGTGGCTCACATGGTCAGCTGTGATGACCATGAGACGGGTTGCAGTCCAGGAATGCTTGCTGCCTTGCATCACGGGATTGGGCAGGGCTGAGTCTGGGCCAGAGAGCAGCCAGCAGCACCGTGGCTTGGCCTGTGCACCTGTCCCAGGCTGTGTGTCTGGGGGGTGCATTCACTTCAGGGTCCTCCTGTGTCTGTCTGGGGCTCACTGGGTGCTTGGGCCTCCTGATTTCTCATTCAACCCTAGCAGTGAAACTCCTAGGCATAAGGAATTCTCTCACGTTTCCAGAGCATCTCTGGCCTCCTGCTGCAGCGCTCTCATCCCTGGCTGTCACTCCATGGGGAGGTTTGACAAGTGCATGCTACAGGATTGGGGTGGGGGACTGAGCCCTGCTGTCGCAGAGTTCTCGGGGTAGTGGTGGGGTGCTGATGCCCCCCAGAGGACCGGGAACCCTCGGCTCTCTGTGCTTCCTTGCAGTCCTGTGACCTCGTTTCACAGGCAGAGCGCATGAGGCTGGGGTACACGGGTGGGTTTACAGGGCGAGAAAGCTGAGGCCACCCAGCTGCTCCGGGTTGGTGCTTGGAGACACAGTGCTCATAGCCTTTGGGGACATTTGAGTGTAAAGGAGCCTCATGAAGCTCAGGGTGGCCCAATGTCCCTGCAGCACCAGGGGCCAGTCCAGCCATAGCAGTTGAGCCTAGGGCTTTGGGGTTCCCAGTTTATAGAGGTTGGCCAGGGAAGGGTTTGGTGCTGGTTGCCATCAGAGCTCCAAGAGTAAGGTGGGCCCTAGGAGAGGGAGCTGTCTCCAGCCCCTGTGCTGTCTAGGACACAGGTTCTCACAGTGTGAGAGCCCTGGGAACTACACACACATCCTAGAAGTGCAAATCCTGCACTCCCCTGCCACCCCACTGAGTCACAGCTCTGGGGCCTTAGAGTCCTCTTCCCCGCCCTCCACATTCACAGGATGCAGGCTCGAGCTTGGAGAACCACCAGCTCAGTTGGCAGTGTCTTGGGTCTGTATTCTAGTTTGTGCCCAGCTCATTGATATTAGACTAGCTTTGCACTGCCCCAGGAAGGTAGGGAGGGGGATGTGAGGGTCAGTGCTCCTTCGTGTTGGGAGCACTGTATCCTCCCAACCCCTGCCTCTTAGGAACACAGAATCACTGGCAGGAAGCCTTAGTGTACTGCCTAACCCAGGTAGCCACTTGAGGGGCAGGCATTTGGCACAACTGTTAAGACATCATATGGGACTTGGCCTGGTAGCCTAGTAGCTAAAGTCCTCGGTTTGAATGTGCTAGGATCCCATATGGGCACTGGTTCTAATCCTGGCAGGCCCTGCTTCCCGTATAGCTCCTTGTTTGTGGCCTGGGA